TTACTTTGAATCATCATCATTTTGCAGCTTCTTTTCCATTTTCTATACCTACTAGATTCTGCCTACACATTCAACAAACCTATCAACTAATACAAAATTTCACTTAATTCCAGTATTAGTTCATTGTTATTAAGCATTGAATGTTCCACGATTTTGCGGCACATGCCCTCAACTTAGAACCATTACTTGTCCTCAAGTGATGAGAAAAATAAATATAATCAGTCCTCAAATCATTTCCAGATTTCTGACACTACGCAACAACTATTTCAAATACAATTTGTATCCCAAACCTCTGAATCTAACATGTAAGGATCAATACATGACATCTTATTACTCACAATCAATCAAGTTTATACCTGCGAATTATCAATTCAAAAAATTTACTTTCAAATGCAACCACTGTGTTCTCACACCAAAGAAGTCCTGCACTCATAATAACAGGGACTTAGTACTACGCTCACGCTCTCAATGAAGTTCTAACACTAACAACAAACTACCATAGGCTTGCCCTTGCTTTCTCTACTTTATCTTTCAAACACCCGGAATAGGATCACTGGACTTTATTGGCTTGTAACATAGGCTCGGGGATAGGGAATGGATATTTGGTTTCGTAAGTGACTAATCACTTGGTTTTCCAAATTTTCATTTTCACACACTCTTTTCTAAGTGATTCCCTCTTTTTCTTTATTTCAGTCCGACCCAGTAGCTATTATTTTCTTTTTCTTTTTCTTTTCATATTTTTTTGTTCTTTTCTTTTTTTTATATGCAATTTTGATATGCACTTAGTTCACTGCTTGAACCTTTTTTCTCCCTTTTTCTTTTTGTTCGGATTGCAATCACCCTAAACTTAGGCTTTTGTCTTGAGTTGTGATATCATACCTTCGGAGAACCTAAAAGACTGATTTAAGGCTCAAATTGGGTTCAAGTGATGAGCTTTTCATTTGGTTCTTTTATTTTTGGCTTTTTACTCTTTAACAAAAATGGCCTACTGACCTTTCCTATCCGGTTATTCTTAGATTCAAGCAAAACTAATTAGGCAAGTTCTAGTTTCTGCTCCTAGTGTTAGACTTCAATCAAAACTTACACACACTACACATGATTGCATTTTTTTAAAATTTTTATTTTCTTGGTTCACCAATTAATTGGTCAGATTAGCCATGTTCACCGTATCAGTATCTACGATGTCATCTAAAGATCCTAATAGTCAAACTCAAATTTAGGTCTTCCATTTTCACAGAGCTGCACAACTCAACACACAAAACACCCAAAACAGTAATACACAGAGACAACCTCCATTTTTCTAACAGTTATGGCAGTTTTCTCACCACCCCCTCCCCAAATAAAAAGGACTTTACCCTCAAAGTCGATACAGAACAATAAAAGACATAGGCTATGAAGAGGAGTCATACCTACTGCGCTTTAGGCCTCGTTCTTCGGATCAACGTTGGCACCCTTATCAATGGGTGCCCTCTCAGAACTTGGGACCTGATCAGTTTGGTCCTCACTAGTCGGAGCAGGTGCTCCACTACCAGAAGCGCCAATTAAGGCTACATCTCACTGTTGTTGTTCTTGGGCTTCCTTTTCTCGAGCTGCCTTCTTTGATGCTGGAAGAGCTTTAGTTTCCTGCTGCCTTTCCTCTTTGGCTAAGTCATCAGCTGTCTCCTCATCAGATTCTCCAGCTTTTTTTTCTCTTGCCGGATTTGATCTTAGAGAGCTCCCCCCAGAACTTATCAAGTGACTGTGTAGATGGTTCCTGAGTGACATCAATGACTCTAGCATGACCGGAGTGGGCACCTGTATTGGCTTTTCAGCCATCTTAGCAATCTGAGTGCGCATCTCGGCCAACTATGCTTTGAACTCTTCAATATCTACTGAACCGGTGGCCTGGAATCGATCCTGAACAAGGTTCTCCAAACCATCTATTTTGTCCTTTAAGATCGATAGCTCCTTTCTCATCTCGTCTTTGATCTTATTTTTCCTAGCTAACACTTTTGTCTCTATTAACTGAGGCATCATGTTGACAATCTGATCGACCAGAGTCCTAGTTTGGCGCTGATTTGCAACTAATTTCTCAAGAAATAGCATAGGCATAGTGACAAAGGTACCTGGGGCTTGGGAGGCTGAAGCTGGATGTGGTGGCACATCTGTGGAGGAAGGCTATGATGACTCTCCCTGTGTTGGGCCTCTATCTGTAGGTGGGATGTCGATTGGAACATGAGGGACAACAAATAATGTACCTACAGCAACAAATTTCGCACAAAATAGATGGTTCGCAACATCTTTGATTTTTGAGAGTTGAATGAGTCTTAATGCATCACACCATCGTCAACCAACCTGTTTTGGGAAATATCTGCTTGTCTACACAATTTCCTTATCAGACAGGGAAACGTAAGTGTGGCTCTCTCATTTAGCACCATGTCTCTCATTTCAGTCGCTATAATCTGTCCCGCATTCACTGGGTAACCAACCATAAAACATGCCGCCAACGAGGCCAGGGAAGGGGACAAAGTGTTATCATTAGTTGTCGGTCGTATTTGTGTCTGGACGAGTACCTACCTAACCTTGGCTGGAAAAGACAGTGAAGCTTTAGTAATGAGTGTTGGAGTTGTGGTAACCCAAACTGCATTTTCCCCATCTATTGTAATCTGCTTTGCAATCCTGCATAAAACCCTCTCTCGAGAGTCTTGTTCTTCCATTGTGGTATCACTGGTCACCTCATGATGTTTGACCTCGAAAAGACCAACTGAAGCTGGTGCAAAGTATTCTGGGCCATGCAACATTTTGTTAATCGAAGCCTCAAAAATGTCTATTGATTTACGCCGAACTATGATTGAGTTGACTGGACCCCAGGTAATAGCCATGTTTTTCTGCCCACATTTCGTGGTCTCCATATCCACAGCAAAATTCATCAAAGTAGCTGCATCAGAGGAATAAAATTCTCTGGTCAGGTGGGTAGAGTACTCTCTAATTGCATTGTCCATCCAGTCGAACTGATGAAGCTGAATATCCTATGGATGTTCAAAAATGCCTTGATATCAGCTATCGCAACCCTAGTCTCAAGCATGATTGCTCGATTCTTGAAGCCTCCAGTTTAGTTCACAATGCCATTGTCAAAGAATTCATTAGACCGGTTGACAGTCCATATGGAGCAATAACATGAAATCAGTTGTGGTCTCAATGCAGGGTTAGGTTCATGAGCGTTCACATACATCACCACGGTATCATCATCGATGATTTCGTCCTCATCCTCTCTATTAACTGCTTCCTCTCGTACTCCAATTTCAGCTTCTGTAATAGCCACAGGTGGAGAGGTAACTGTGTCGTCCTGAGAATCGCTTTCAGATTCAGCACTGCCCCCTGAGTAATCCGCAAATTGGCTACCAGCAGAATCATCAAATTGATTGCAAAGTGATGACGGGGGAAGATTTGTTAGCATTCTTTCTTCTGGGACCCATTGTACCTGAGAAATAGAGAGCTCATTAGTAATCAACACAATCAAATGACGCAATTTTGGGTACTCAAACTTCCCCTGTGTAATATCATCGTGATGCCTTGCATTATGAATGTCGTCACCCAATCTATCATTGAGAAGGGCCACATAATCAAAAGATGAACATAGACTAAGTACAGAAAAAAATAAAAATTTCAAACAAGAGAACTATCGGGAGCTTGCACGGGCCGTGGTATGAACCACGGACCGTGACATCCTTCGGGGAGTTGAAACAAAATCAGTGTGCACAAGGAGTGTTTGACCATTTTACCAAGGGATGTTCACGGACGGCTTTATGGCTCATGGAGTGCACCACGGTCCATGATACTGCCTGTGAACTTTAACTAAGGGATGGGTTGGCTTCAAGTGTGGTCTACGACAAGCTTCACGGCCCGTGGTATCTACCACGATCCATTCAACCTGTCGTAGACTTACACTTTGGGAAATATGTCAGTCACCTTCTTCCCAACATCAAATTTTAGCACTTAACCACCATTTTTACACAAATACAAGATCTTCATATAACTTAATCTTTACTCTAATTCTTAATCAACTAAATTAACTAACCTAAAGTTCACCACCTACCAACAAATTAGACCCTCTTTTATAGACCAACACACAAGAACAACTAAAACCTCCCAATTCGACATACCCACTACAATTTAGTATCAATTAGCAATTAATCATTAGAAGGTCATGCGAAACTCAAGAAAATCAAAGTCATCATACATAGGTGTAGACAAGATTGAAATTACTTGGAAATAGTGACACAGCCGAAATCTGGAAGTAACTTAACACACTTACATAACTGAGCACTTAGGGTTTTGATTCTTGGGTGGATGTAGGATTTATTGATTAATGGTAATAGATTCTACCCTTAGATAGCCGTTATGGAGGAGAAGAGTAGGAAGAAACTGACTCTTTGGCCTTTGGAATCGAATAAATATGTTTCATTCTGAGTAGGGTTACGCACAGGTCGGGTCAGATATGTGTAACACTAGGTTGTAGACTATGGACCGTGAAGTTACCTGTGAAGTGAGTCACGGTCCGTTAGACCATCTGTGCTCCTAACTTAGATCTAACACTTGACAGCGGAAGACCACGGATCGTGAAGTTTCCCGTGAAGGGCATCACGGTCCGTGAACCTGTCCGTGTCTGTGACTTTGAAACTTGGCATTCATACCTGAGGTTCATGAGAGTCTAGACGGTCCTTAAAAACTCTAACAGACCGTGAACCCATTTTTTATGCAATTTCCAGTAGCTTGCGAACTTTTGTACTCAAATTGACGGACCATGAAGTTCCCGTGAAGAGCACCACGGTCCATGAAGTTCATTCTGCACTAGGTCCTGCATTTTTCCACCTTTTCTCTCATGCACACATCAGCACACAGTGACTCTATAAAAACAAAGAAAAATAAGGCAAAAGGGAACATACCTAATAGAATTACATCTTGGGTTGCCTCACAGGCAGCGCACAATTTAACGTCGCGGCGCGACGTTGGGTACTTGATTACTCAAACTTCATCAAGTTTGCACCCAAATATGCCTTGACTCGCTGACCATTGGCTTTGAACCTCTCCCCTTTCTTATTTTCCAGTTCAATAGCACCAGATTGAAAAACCTGTGTGACCTTAAAAGGTCCAAACAATTTAGATCTCAGCTCTCCTAGGAACAGACGAAGTGTGGAGTTGAAAAGTAACACCAAGTCACCAGGAGTGAAGCTTCTTTTCTCAATATGTTTGTCATGATATAACTTAATCATCTCCTTATGCAGTGTTGATCTCTCATAAGCTCTCAGACGGAACTTATCCATCTCATTGATCTGATCCAACCTCAAGTTCGCAGTTTCGCTCCAAGTGAGGTTTAGCTTCTTCAATGCCCAGAGTTCTCTATGCTCAAGCTCAACTGGCAAATGACATGCCTTTCAAAATACCAATTGATATGGAGACATACCAATAGGTGTCTTGAGAGCTGTCTGATATGCCCATAGAGCATCATCCAGCTTCCTTGCCCAATCTGTCCTTTGGGCATTAACTGTCTTGGCCAAGATTACTTTAATCTCCTTATTGGAAACCTCCACTTGTCCACTGGTATGTGGGTGATAAGGTGTTGCCATCTTGTGTTAATTTACCCCATACTTGGTCAGAAGCGCACTGAACACTTTGTTGCAGAAGTGAGAACCACCATCACTGATAATGGCTCTGGGTGTTCCAAACCTTGAGAAAATATTCTTTTTTAGGAAACCAGCAACACTCTTTCCATCGTTGTCAGGTAAAGCAACAACTTCAACCCATTTGGACACATAGTCAACCATAACTAGTATATATTTCTGCCCATATGAACTCACAAAGGGGCACATAAAATTAATACCCCACACATCAAACAATTCAACCTCCATAATAGGTGTCATGGGTAACTCATGGCGCCGAGACATGGCGCCTTGCCGCTGCCACACATCACAACTCCTTACTATGTCCACTATATCTTGATGAATTGTGGGTGAGTAGTACCCACACGAAGGTATGTTGTGGGCTGTTCGAGCACCACCATGATGACCACCGACTGGAGATGAGTGACAGGCTTCCAAAATGTGCAACATTTCGGCTTCCGAAACACATCGCCTAATTATGTTATCAGCACACACCCTGTACAGATACGGTTCATCCCAGAAGTACTTGCCTTCATCACGCAGGAACCTTTTCCTTTGCTGATATGTTAGCCTCTCAGACATCACATCACTAACCAGGAAATTAGCATAGTCAGCAAACCAAGGAATAAGGTCAAGAGTAACAGCTAATACCTGCTCATCCGGGAGTTATCATCTATCTCAAGTTCAATTTCTTCCTTCTTTGCAACCTCCAACCTAGACAGGTGATCACCTGCCTAGTTCTCACAATCTCTCCTGTCCTGCACTTCAAAGTCAAACTTCTGGAGAAGTAGCACCCATCGGATCAGCCTAGGTTTGGCATCTTTTTTTGTCTTGATATATCTCAAGGCAGCATGGTTTGTATGAACTATCACCTTAGTGCCAAGCAGGTAAGCTCTAAACTATTCAAACGCATACACTACAGCCAATAGTTCCTGCCCACTGACTGTGTAGTTTCGTTGTGCCTCATTTAGTGACTTACTAGCATAGTAAATCAGATGGAACATCATGTTGCACTTTTGTCCCAACACAACTTCTACCGCAGTCACGCTAGCATCACACATCACCTCAAATTGCTCCGCCCAAACTGGGCCAATAATCACTGGTGCTGAAATCAACTTTTCTTTTAGGCACTTAAAAGCTTTGAGACTTGCCTCATCAAAGACAAATTTCACCTCCCTCTCTAAAAGCTTGCACATAGGGTGTGCAATTTTGGAGAAGTCCTTGATGAAATGCCATAGAATCCGGCATGTCCTAGGAAGCTTCGAACATCCTTCACACAGATCGATGGAGGTAACTTTTCAATCACTTCAATCTTGGCCTTGTCGACCTTGATCCCTTTCTATGATACCTTGTGTCCAAGAACTATGCCCTATTTTACTATGAAATGGCACTTCTCCCAATTCAGCACCAGGTTGGCCTCCTCACATCCCTGTAAAGCCCTACTAAGATTAACAAACAATCATCGAAAGTATCACCTACTACAGAGAAATCATCCATAAATATGTCTAAAGTGTCCTCCACCATGTCAGAGAAATTGGACATCATACACCTTTTGAATGTTGCTGGTGCGTTACGCAGTCCAAATGGCATGCGTTTAAACACAAAGGTGCCATAATGACATGTGAATGTGGTCTCTTCGTGATCTTCAGGAGCAATTGATAGCTGGTTGTAGCCAGAGTATCCATCTAAGAAACATTACCACCCTTTACCTGCCAACCTATCACGCATCTGGTCCATGAAAGGCATGGGGAAATGATCCCTCAAATTCCACTTGTTGAGCTTCCTGTAGTCTATACACACTGGTCATCCAGTGACTGGTCTTTGTGGGACTAATTCATTTTTGGCATTTGCCACCACTGTCATACCGCCCTTTTTAGGCACACATTGAACTGGATTGACCCAGTAACTATCAGAAATGGGATAGACCACCCCATTATCTAACCACTTGATTATCTCTTTCTTAACCACCTCTTGCATAGGTGGGTTTAGCCTCCGCTGGCGTTCAATGCTTGGGTTGCATTCCTCCTCAAGCTGAATCTTATGGGTGCATATACCTAGAGGTATTCCAATTATGTCAGCAATGGTCCATCCAATGGCCCTTTTGTACCTTCTCAACACTGTGATCACCTCCTTCACCTACTTTTTATTTAGATCTGTAGCCAAGATCACAGTTAAAGTGTTATTAGAATCTAAAAATATATACTTGAGGTGACTGGGTAACTATTTCAGTTACAACATCGGTGGCTCCTCGATTGATGGTTTTCCTGGATGGCTTGGCCTATTTTTCAAGTACAGGTCCAATTTCATTGGATTATATGAGTGTGCTCCCATATCCTGTAAAGCATTCACGGTCTCTACATAGTCAGACCAGAAATCAGCATCAAAATTTATCAGCACTACTGCTAAGGTTTCAAGAGCCATCCTCTCTTCTATGGGTACCCTCATGTCTTCATCAGCAACCACCTCTATTGCAGATACCATATTCATATCATTCGGTTGCTTTATTTACCTACAAATATTGAACTTTACCTCATCCTTGTTAAGTGTGAACTTCAGCTCACCTCTCTCAACATCTACCAAGGTTCTCCCTGTTGCTAAAAGTGGTCTTCCCAAAATAATGGGGTCTTCAAAGTCCACATCGCAATCCAACATGACGAAGTCAGCCAGAAAAATGAAGGTGTCCACTTTCAAAAGTACATCACATAGGGCTCCCATAGGCCACTTAACTTACTTATCAGCCATCATCAACCTCATTGTTGTGGGTCTTGGAATTCCCAATCCCAGTTTCTTGTAGATGGCAAGTGGCATCAAGTTGATGCTGGCTCCTAGGTCACACAATGCTTTTGCAAAGCTGATTGACGCGATGGTGCATGGAATAGTGAATGCACCTGGGAATGGCGCTGCAATGGTGAACATCATTAGTAAAATCAAGACTTACAACTCTTTTCTTTGTAACCAAGGCCTTCATGAACTTGGCATATCCTGGCATCTGCTCCAGAGCTTCCACCAGTGGAATGTTTACTGAAAGCTGCTTCAACATGGTAATGAATTTTGTAAACTTCCCATCTTCAATTTTTTCTATGCCTTTGAGGAAAAAGAGGAGGTGGTCTGGGAATCTATTGTAAAGGCTGGTTTTCCTCGACCCTTTATCTTTTCCTCTCGCGGATTGTGATTTATGCTAAACCTCCTACGAGTCATCTACATGTACGGTTTCATCCTTATCTCTGCTAGCTTGCTCAAAGACATGTTCATGTTTGGTACCTACAGACATAGGGTCAGTAAGAACTTTACCACTCCTTGTGGCGATGGCCATGCAATGCCCGTCCTTCTTGAGATTCTGAATGGTGTCACTTGGTAGTGATCCATTCTTTTGTTAATTCAGTGAGGCTAAGAGTTGCCCCAACTGGTGCTGAATTTGTTTAATGGAGGTGGTGTGAGATTCCACCAACTGACTTATGCTTGAGAAATCACCTCTCATTTCTTTTACCCCTACATCAGTTGATTCAACCTTCTTGAGTACTTTAGCCATCATATCTTCCAGCTTAGATCCGCTGGAACTACCACCTGCCCGATCTCTATTGCCTGGGGCACATATACACCACTGCGATCATTCATATACCCATCTTTGTTTTTCCAGTTTCCTTGATCTCTATTTGATGGCCTTTTATACTGACCATCCTTGCATAGTTCCGACCTACGTTTCCAGAATTGTAACCTTGATTTCTAGAGTTATAATTCCGAAAAACCTCTTGGTTTCCCAAGTAGTTAGCTTTCTCATCAAGGTCAAAATCTTGATCCTCATACATGTTTGGCTCTCCTACAACATTCACCTTTTCAGACTTGGCGACAATGTGCTTTGTGAGCAGATCTATTTGAGTCCTCATATGTGCCATGTCTTGGTCCCTTTCTTCTTCTCTCTTCCTTTGTTCAGCTGAAAGCTTAAATGTATACCCAAGCTCTCCTACCTCTGCATCTCTAGTGTACTATGCTCTGTTGTTCTTTGAGACCTCATCCAATAGTTGCATGCTCTCTACAAATGACTTTCTCATAAATGAGCCTCCACAAAATGCATCAATAGCAGGTTTAGTAACATAATTCAGAGACCTATAAAAGTCTTGTTTAAGATGCCTTTTGGTCAGATTATGGTTGGGCCATTTCTTCCACTTTTAGCTGAACCTCCACCAAGTATCATGCATTGCCTCTCCTAGTACCTGCTTGTGTGTACTAATCTCATGCTTCATCTGCATCTCTTTTGATTCTGGGAAGAATCATTCCAGGAAAGCTTTCTTTAACTCATTCCAAGTTTAGATAGAGTTATCTGTCATCTCATTCAACCTCTTAGTCGCCTCTCCAGTAAGAGACAATGGAAACAGCCTCAACATCATTGTTGTTTGGTTGACCCCAAGAATCTCTTGTGACTTATAGATTGCCACAAAATTCGTCAAGTGCTAATTTGCATCATCACCAGCTGCACCTCTAAACATACCTTTCAAGTTTCAGCAATTGGATCATGGTGCTAGTGATTGTGAACTTAACACTTGGGGTAGTGCAGGTAATACTATGGCTCCAGTGGCTCCAGCTCCATCCAAGTCAACATCATTTTCTTCATACATCATATGAGTTGGATATTGAGCTCTACCTCTTAGGGCTATTAATTGGCACTAGGGATGGACTACTCCTTCCACCCCTTTGTTCTCATCTACTACCCTAGATTGATTGATTCTAGCATTTTGCTAGACACCTGGCCTAGGTTGATTGATTCTTGAAGTTTGATGTACATTCCTTGTAGCATAAATATCAACTTCTAGTTCCAGTTTGTGTCTCTGAGCCTCTAGCTCTTGTACATTAACCATCTTTCGAAGAGTTCTCTAAACTTCAGGGTCGTAAGGAAGCAATGGGGATCCTTTGCTTCTTGTGTTGGGCATGCACAATCTGACACTCCTGAAAAAGACACAAACACCAAACAA